CGATGCCAATTACCAATGCATGAATTTGTATATTGTGTGGCAAGCACAATGATATACTATGCCCAGGGAAGTCGAGAAAATTTCCTACCCAAAAGATTCCCTCGACTGGACTGGGAATCGATCCCTCCGGCTTGGTAATACCGTGCCTTTACTGACTAGGTTATCAGGCCCCTAATTTGAAAATCTATCGGCATTATCAGATACTTTTAACTGATTTAATTTACCTCTACGTTTTAAATATCCAATTGTTTTGCAACAGGTTCTTCATTTTCAACTGTGATTCAACAAGATCATTTATGTTTTATATGTACTTGAACAATTTATGATCAGAGTTAGTCTTATACTTATTTTTTGTCTTATCCAAACATTTTTTTAAAACCTAATTCCTTTTCTGGGTCTGCAATAGTTATATCTTGTCAATATCATTGGCAAGTCTCGGAAGTATTGATCCAATTTCATGTTGCAGAACATAAACATCTTTTCATGTCATATTGTTTTTTATATGCATACTACGATAATTCGATCCATTAATGTTCTGGCTGAAGTTACGCCGATATTAGGTTTAATGATTTTTGGGTGATCGGCTCCATCCGATAGAAACGGAAATACCACTGGGCGTTTCGATGAGTCTAGCTGCTCGAATCTGAGATTTGCATCTGCTCGCTTTTCTGATGAACGGTGAAGTCTAATATGCTTTACGCTTTCAAAGTTTCGAATAAATCAGAATGTAATCAGCTTCTACTGTGCAATTTTTACCGATATTCAACTGGTACTCATTCGTCAAGTGCAACTAATATTCTTGAACATTAGGAATTAAATAAGCGCACGTCGTACAGCTAATGATGATGTGTCGTTTGCATCTAAAAATGCTTGCAGTCGGTAGATACTAGCATATGTTTCACGTTGCTTTATCGCGTGTAAAGTTTCACTGATGAAATGCCACAACAACTTGGAGTTGGATAATGATTTAACTTACATTCATTGATACTGCTGCTCGTTAAATATGTCAGCAAGCCTGCTGCTGTTGGATCCAATGCTCTCGTTGAAATGTAATTGATGATCCCAGGTCGCAAGGTTTGTAACTTCTGGAGTCCATTTACATTGTCAGGATACAGTTTACGGATATCAATATCAATCTAAAAAAATATTAATGCAAATTTAATACATGTTTAATTATTGTTGAAAGAAACACACATAGGTATCAAAAGCTTCACTGAGTAAAAACCCCGTATGCTTTTAATTGATTTTTTCATTATTTAGTAGCCATTTGGTAGAATTAAGTTTATCATGATCACTCTATCTTTTATTTTGAAAAAAAAAACGTTATGTATATTTTGCAAGTCAAACTCGTTGATTCCACGTTCTAGTAAAACATATTATTAATTAATTATGTACAATGTCGAAAAGAAAACAACTTACTTGTCCGAAAATTCAATAAATCCAATGGAATTTCCAAATCCAACAACAACTTGTCAGTCATGCACCGTTCGGACTCCATGTTAGATTTTGTTTGTGCTATCACCACTTAGACATTTTCACACTATAGATTCATGTAGAATCTAAGTGAATTTATGTTCTATGAATATCACTTTTGTTTTCTTTTTTCCTTGATTTGTTTTTCGTCGATCTTGTTTTCCATGGTGAGTACCAATGCTACCGACGCCAGGGAGGCAGCTCCCACACCTGGACCCTACCTACCCAGACAACCAGAAGTCGTATAACAATGTGCAGACAGTATCGTAAATTGCTACAGTTTAAGTCAAAATCGCATATAAGAATGGCATACCTCGCATTATGCTTAAGTTAAATCGTATAGAATGCAAATTTCCGACCTATATGCGATGACTCATTTTTCCGTCGTACTGTACCACAAATTAAATCGGATTACATCGTAAGACTTTTCAAAATAAATTTGTGATTACAGATTAAATCGTATATGATCTTAAATAAACTCGTTTAAAATTAAATTAAAATATGCACGTATGTATATGGCCTCCACTTTTGTACGTATAAGCCATTTATTTGCATTCTATACGAATTGTTTGTTTATATATATGTTTGTATATCACGAAAACAATTCTGAATATACGTGCATTCTGGTTGTCTGGGTATCGACCCATCAACTCATGAACCGGGGACCAACGACTTTACTTCCCTCCCGAAGAAAGGCGTGATCAGAGATGTTATGCCTCAGAACATCCCGGCGGCGCCGACTGGGATTGAACCCAGGCCTGCTGGGGTGAGAGGTAATCACGCTTACCACTACACAGATAAAAAATCTGAATTTTAATTGTGATGTAAACATTCATTCACGTAAACTTGTATTTCATTTCATGCAACCGAGGAACTTGTAAACAATGTTGTTTACAAAGATGGGCTTTTGTATACAATATTTGCTACATTGCATGAAATGTCTCAGAACTTTACATGATTTATAATGTAAACTTATATGATATGTGACGCTCCATTTATGTGCATCATATTGAACAGAAATTTACTACTACTTTTTCGAACTGTGTACACCACCGGTGATCAACTTTCTCCGTCCAATTTGCGGCACATGGTGGGGTGCCCGGGAGACTTCATAACGCTATATAAAACAACTATTTTCTCTGTTCTAGAGTACGGCTCTTTCTGCTTTCTATCGGCAAGAAAATGTCACCTAATAAAATTGGAACGAATTAAATATCGTTGTCCGCGTATTGCCCTTGGCTGTATACACTCAACGCATAACATGAGTCTCGAAGTTCTGGCAGGAGTAACAACCTTCCAGAACCGTTTTTGGGAGCTCTCTCTCAGAATACTAATCAAATGCGGAGTGACGAACACACTTATAATTGAAAATTTTGAAGAAATTCTTGGGCTGAACATACAATCTCGATTTATGAGAATCTACCATTACTACATATCGTCAGATATGTGTCTTCCTTGTTACAATCCAGACCATGCTTGTAGTATAGAAGACCGAAGAATAGAACCGAAATAAAACACGTTAGTACCGTTCGCTCTCTTGAACATTAATGATCTTTATTCCTCATCTATGTATTGTGCAAGTCTTATACGCTTGACATCAAAGCCGACATACCCTCCTACATTGATTATGCGTTACATGCACAGTGTTACGATACTACAGTGCTCACTTCACCAATCGCAGTTCCTCAATTGAATATGATCTGACCATGAAACAAGCAACTCATGGGCTTCCAGATCAACTTCGACCTATTATTAAACCGTGAATTTTTACTGAAAAGTACAAACACGTCAATTGCGTGAAAAGATATTTTACAAACGGGTCCCGTCTCAATGGATCCACTGGCTTCAATTCAATTCAATTCAAATCAATTCAAACTCTAGCGCCTTCCGCATACTTCAGGAACCTTGTTTGATTTATGTTGCTGAGCTGGCAGCAATCAACTTCGCATTGGGGATGATTTCCAACATGCCCGCAGACCATTATTTCATCGTCTCGGATAGTCTCAGTTCGATTGAGGCTATTCGGTCGATGAAACCAAGAAGGCACTCATCTTGTTTCCTTTCAAAGGTAAGGGAACAGATGAGTGTGGTGGTTGAAAGATCATATATGATTACCTTTGTATGGGTCCCTTCACATTGCTCAATCCCAGGCAATGAGAAGAAGGACTCTCTCGCAAAGGTGGGCGCGCAGGAAGTGCGAATTTTATGACAGGCAAATTTCACACGATGAATTTTACCACTTGGTGCGTCAGAGTATTATTATTATTATTTATCTTTATTAGGGAGGCTTTCAGCCTTGGGCTGGTTCGCCTCCAAAGTGCGTCAGAGTACCCTTTCGAGTTGGCAAATCGATTGGGACAATGGAAATCTTGGACGGTGGTTACATTCAATTATTCCTAATGTTTCTTCGAGAGCGTGGTTTAAAGGCTTGGGCTTATGTCATGACTTCATTCGCGTGATGAGTAGACTTATGTCCAACCACTACTCGCTAGATGCGCATCTCCATTGAATAAACCTTGTGGACAGCAACATCTATCGGTGTGGAAACGGTTACGCTGACATCGAACACGCAGTTTGGCAATGTACGGATAATGACGCCGCATGAGAGTGACTTTGGAATACCCTCGAGGCCCAAGGAAGACAACCCTATGTTCCTATCAGAGACGTGTTGGCAACCCGTGATCTCTGCTATATGCAGTCGGTTTATGTGTTTCTACAAATGTCTAGTATAAGAATTTAATTCCTTTGTCTTTTGTCTCTCTTTATCAGTTTTTGTTTGTCTTGTCCCACCGTCTCGATGAGTCTCATCGTCGCCCACTGGTTATTATACTACCCGGTCGAACTCCAGACGAAGCTAGAACCGTACTACCGTTCATACTGGCGACAAAGCTCTGATGAGACAACAAAACCCCGCCCCCAAGGTCTTCCCCTGATCCTATCCTTCGACAATGTACCCCTCTAACCTCGGGTAACCCGCGACTATTCGGCACTCGTACTAGACATAGATATAAGTGAATTTTGTCAAAAACAACGAACAATGAATTATTGGTTTCGTAAAGCTAACACGATTGAGCCTTCCAAATAAATAAACTAGATAAAACAACCTTTCATTTGATATTTTGATCGTTGAAATCAAAAAATATGAATTATTGAAAAAAAGGCATTTTCAAAAAAAACGGTATTTTGGGCCACCATGGAAATGGTCATCCTAATGTCATTGACAAAATAAAAAAGTACGGGTCTAATAATTTGTGATAAGAAACAAAATTATTAATTTTTACGAAATTCTGAGAACCACTATATCGTTTTGCTATGTCCTTTATTTAACGTCGGTCTCTGTTCATATCGTTTTGCTATGGAATGACTGAATTATCATATCGAATTTTATGTTATATTGGAAATTTCCCAAATTGTTTCAACATAACTTTTAATATCTTGTATTAGATTTTACAGTTCACCCCAACAAAAGGCTTAAGGTTCTAATCAATATTTCAAACTTAACTTTTTTTTTGTTTTTTTTTTGGCAGGTGTTGATTATATGCATCCGGATTTGAAGTTCAACTACGTAAGTAATTAAATAAATAAACAAAATTTTTAAGCTACAAATACCTTTCAATACTAGAATGCGGAGGCCAGCTACGATTTTAGCAGTAACGATCCTTATCCATACCCACGGTACACTGATGATTGGTTTAATAGGTAATTGTAGAAAGACACGTAGGATGTTTTACAAATTCGTCACTTCATATACTTGATATCGTAATTCATATCGTAACTTGAGCGTTAAATTTTGTAAAACTGTACAATTTTGTACTTGAATGCATATTTATGTAAAAAAAATGAACACTTCTGGTATAAGAAGTGATGAAATTGGAATTAATACAAGTTGAAGAAAAAATACATGTTGCTTTTTCATTTACTTCAGTCACGGTACTCGTTGTGCCGGAGAAGTGGCGGCAGCTCGAGATAATGGAATTTGTGGGGTTGGTGTTGCCTATGATTCTAAAATTGCTGGAATTCGAATGCTTGATCAACCTTACATGACAGACCTTATTGAGGCGAATTCGATGGGCCACGAGCCACACAAAATTCACATCTACAGTGCATCATGGGGACCAACTGATGATGGTAAAACGGTAGATGGGCCAAGAAATGCGACCATGCGGGCCATTGTACAAGGTGTAAACGAAGGTCGCAATGGACTAGGAAATATTTATGTTTGGGCTTCAGGAGATGGCGGGGAAGAAGATGATTGCAATTGTGATGGCTATGCAGCTTCCATGTGGACAATTTCTATAAACAGTGCGATCAACGACGGACAGAATGCCCATTATGACGAAAGTTGCAGCTCCACTCTCGCGAGTACGTTTAGTAATGGCGCAAAGGATCCCAATACAGGCGTGGTATGTAGATTGAGATCTTTCTTGTTCATGTAAACGGGACGGGTGTATGCATTATGTTACAGGCTACTACCGACTTGTATGGTAAATGTACTACAACACATTCTGGTACTAGTGCAGCCGCCCCAGAAGCTGCAGGAGTGTTTGCTCTCGCCCTTGAAGCAAAGTAAGCAGACATTTTGAAAAAGAAAACGGAAAATGTGGATTTCCAGTCATGATTATACCTTTCTATTCTAGGGCAGTTGTGCCCGCTAAGGCTATACGTTCTTGTTATGGTATGTTCCAATTATGGCCTATGGAATTCCCATTGGCCATAATTTGAACACACCATATTAGGAACGTATAGCCATAAGTAGTACACCTACCCTAGTGTGTTCATTTTACGGCACAATAGAAAGGTAATGCCATGATTATAAAACGTACATTAAGTAAAAAGAAAACTTAATCTTATTTTATTGCAGTCCTTCTCTTACGTGGCGTGATATTCAACACCTTACGGTATTGACATCGAAACGAAATTCATTGTTCGATGCCAAGAATCGTTTCCATTGGACTATGAACGGAGTTGGACTGGAGTTTAATCATTTATTTGGATTTGGTGTACTTGATGCTGGAGCCATAGTTTCGCTCGCAAAAAAATGGCACACTGTACCATCTCGTTATCATTGCGAAGCAGGTGCTATTCTGGACCCTCAGTGCGTTTACAGCAACAAATGTTAATGATGAATATAATGAAATTTATTTGATTTATTATAGTCCTGTTCCATCCACTGGTTCGTTGCTGTTGCGTATTAAGACAGATGCTTGTACTGGTACCGATACAGAAGTTCGTTATCTAGAGCATGTTCAGGCCGTTATCACAGCGAATGCTACTAGGCGGGGTGATTTAGAACTGTTTGTTACCTCTCCCATGGGAACTAGGTATAACATAATTTATCGCTGATGCGCCGGTATAAGTTTACTATGAATTTGTCATAACTTTTAGATCAATGATATTGAGTCGTCGGGCTAATGATGATGATCATAGGGACGGATTCACTAAATGGCCGTTTATGACAACGCATACGTGGGGAGAATATCCTCAAGGAACATGGGTGTTGGAGGTGAGTAGATGGTACATTCATCGGGGAACATTAATTGATTATTTCAGGCATTTTTCATACCATGAACATTACTTGTGGCTAAAAATAAAATAAAATTAATTAATCCGCGATCAAATCTGCACTTTTATTAAACCTTTATCTTATTATTCTTTTTATTAAATTTCATAAATATTTGCTTAACGTTGGGATTTTTCTGAGGCGAAAAAAAAACTCGGGTCACGAAGGGGAATATGGCCTATGGATCTAAGATTGGATCCATCGCTAAAAATCTGCTATTTATCAATTGTAACTAGATGATTCGGGCTAATGGATATTTTTGGCCGCTATTGAAAATTTAGTCGATTGCTGAATTTATGTATGGGCCCAAATTAGGGGCATTTAGGCTGACATTACATCTATTTTCCCAATGATGTCTAAAAATTACTTTTAAAATACCTTTTATTTGATATTTTGATCTTTGAAATCGGCCCAGTGGTTCAAAAGTTGTGTATTTTTGAAAAAGGTCATTTGAAATAAAAACAATTGAGTTTTTGAACTTTTAGGGTAGTCAAAGGAATGTTTTTTTTTATTATAGTCACTTTAATGCTTTTGGGTAATTCGTGAGTTACCTTAGGGTGAGATTTGAAACTGTGATCTTGACGTGAGAGGTATGGATTCTACCCACTCCACCTAGGTCGCCCCCTGATGAAAATGGTCACCCTAATGACAAAATTAAAAGATACGGGTCTAATATTTTGCGATAAGGAACAAAACTACATTTTTTTACGAAATTATGAGAACCACTATATCGTTTTGCTATGGAATACTTGCTCAAGCCAGATTTTGACTACTTCCATGGAAGCATATGGTCGAGTAGTGGCGTCGTCTTAATCTCAGACAAATTTTAAAATACTGCTTGTAATCTTTTCCGGTTTGATTCTTACGCATATTAGACCATAATGAGAGTGATCAACTCAAATCAAAGGTTCGCCATCCCGTAAGGCGTTACTTCAAAGCCTGAGAAAAGTTGGTTAACAAAATGAAAGAAAATCGATATTAACAAGTTTGCTGTAATGAAAAATCTTTTTGATTTCAATTGTCGCGACATAAGTCTGATATCATATTAAGGGGAGGTTCATTTGGATTCGGCCGAAAATCGTGCAAACTTTTCGAATTTTGTGTGGGAAAACGAAAAGACATAAGCAATGTCCCTTGCTGTCAATTGTAAGGCCTTCCGTGGTAAACTGAAATGAGTAACTGTCATATATTATGAAAATACATAAAATTTCCTACGGCATATACCTAACCTAAACAAAATTTTAACGAAAAAAACCTAACTTTTTGGACATTAACAAAAAGTTAATTTCTTCTCTTTTTTGTACTTTGATCTCATTTAAAAATTATAAAAAACCATTTTTCATGCCCATAATAGGTATAAGCCGTTAAAGAAAAGTATTCACTTTAAAACTATGTTTGAATGAAGTGAATCGGATGAATAGAACAAGACTTATCATTGACAAGAGTTCTCAAAACATGGTTCCGAGAAAAACGCGTTTAAAGTTTTTGGCGTGACATGGGTCCGTTCGAGACGCTCTAACTCGAAAAATACGAATTGTATCGGAATATCCTTTGACAAATATATTCTACACATGTGTAGTTTTCATTTGATGTAAAAAAATCGATTTTTTAGACAAAATCTAAATGAACTTCCCCTTGAGCTTTTATTATGCGGTCAACAGTTTCTGAAATGAAAGCAACTTTACTTCAGGTTTTTCTGTTAATATTTAATTTAATTTCATCTGTCGTTGAACAAAATTCTCGAAAAAGTGCTCGTACTGTTCAGACATATAGTAGATTTGGTCGTGTGTTTGAACAATAGTCCTCTGTGGCTATTACTTTTTACCTTGATATTTTTTCTGGACTCGATCTACAAAGATGAAAATGATGGACATTTTTACATAAACTGCTTGATGAACCCACGTTCTCTGCATTCATTTCCGAAACCATTGAATGGTACAACGAGGATGGAGCAACGGCAAGGGTCCAGGGCCGAGCATCACGGATATTCAGGTATGTCCGCATTTTCAACTTACCACCAGGAATCGAAAATTGCTAAATCCAGTATGTGCTGGGTCAATTCAGAACGATCCGTCAGCACGTGATAGAGGTTCCCAAGTGAAGTGACGAACCAGCCAGTGGCTAAAAGTCACTCTAATAAAGAAAAAAAAATTCCCAAGTGAAATGAACGTGAATATTTTCACTTTTGAAGAGACGATGTTTTTTTCTGAAAAGCAGAAAACCAGATATGATGTCGGATTATCCCAAACTGGTGGCGATTTCTTTGAGAACTGGAGGTAAACCTAACCTCCTTGGAAATAGGGGTTTGGCTTAATCGGCGAACCAGTCAGGCAGCGGTGTTAAACCCAAATCTATCGGAAAAAAACTGAGTGAAGCGCAAATCGAGCTGGTGGCAGTGGTACTTTATTGGGTAAACCGAATAGCCAGCAGATATTACTCCCAAAATGACGGTGGAACAGTTTATTGTTTATTGTTGCCATACATCAACAGGCTGGCTGTAGCCCAAATGATGTTAATAATACTAATCATAAAAATAATAATAGTAAAATTACATGTCAAATAATTACAGAAAGAAAAACAAAGCAACATGGTCAGAATGTAAAAAAAAAAACATAAATGGAAATACACTAATTTTCTCTGTCAGTCACTGCGCCGGCGAAAACAGATGAGAATCTCCGACGAAGCGCATCACGTGTGAGGTGAGAGTCGAATACAGATGCGACTCTATTGAACACACGCTGTAGTCCGCAAATCGCACCATATGCCCCGTAGTTCGTGCGACGCAGTGGCAGTCTCAGCATGAGTTTGTTACGGAGTGGTCGGGGTTGCACGTTTAGGTCAATTTGCCTTAGGATAGTCTCACAATCTATTCGTCCCTGTAGAGTGTCGGCGATAATCAAAGCTCTGTTGGTGTCCCTTCTAATCCGGAGAGGTTCAAGGTTTATCAGTTGGCAGCGACTCTCTGGTATCTGGGCAGCCGAAGCGGATCTCTCCAGGGCAGTCTACGAAGCGCAAAACGAAGAAAGCGACGTTGAACAGATTCGATTCTCTCGGCACCATTGTTGTAATTCGGATTCCAAACCGCAGAACAATACTCAAGCGTCGATCGTACGAGGGAGCAGTAAAGAGATTTTAAGCAGTAGACATCGGTGAAATTCTTAGCTATCCTGAAGATGAATCCTAAAGTCCTAGACGACTTATTGATGACATAAGAAATGTGTTGCCTGAATGTTAGCTGTGAATCCAACACCACACCCAGGTCTTTCACCTGATTCACGCGTTCGAGTGTCGTTCCAAGCAGGTCATAGCTGAATACAATCGGTTGCTTTTTTCGTGAGAACGTTATGGCAGAGCACTTTACTGGGTTCACTACCATTCGATTTAAAGTACACCAACTGGCAAAGACATTAAGCTGACGTTGAAGATTGTGGCAGTCAGCGATCGAGCAAATTCGTAAAAATATTTTGAGGTCGTCTGCATATGCTAATCGAGGTCCTTCGATAACCAGGTTCACGTCGTTGAAGTAGAGTAGAAAAATCAACGGTCCCAGATGGCTTCCCTGCGGTATACCTGATGTGGCAAAGAAGCTAGCTGATTTGCAATCTCCTATAGCAACCATAAGTTGGCGACCAGTAAGATACGAACGGAACCAACTCAAGAGATTACCGCTCACCCCAAGCCTGTCAAGTTTAGCAATCGCAATGTCATGATTCAACTTATCGAATGCCGCGGATAGATCGGTATATATAACGTCCGTCTGTACCCGTTCAGTCATACTATCGGTAATGTAGGATGTGAGGCATAGCAGATTGGTGGTTGTAGAGTGACCGCCAGTAAACCCGTGTTGATCAGCACTCAGATACTGCTTGCTGTGAGAGAGAAACGGTCCCATAATAACAAGCTCGAATAGTTTCGAAACAGCACTCAGCGATGTAATTCCACGATAGTTATCCACGGCTCGTTTGCTTCCCTTTTTGTGGACAGGAAACATGTGTGCACATTTCCAGAAGGATGGAAATATACCACTGGAGAGAGACATCCGGAATAGACGGTGAAGTGGAGTTAACAAGCAAGCAATATGTTTCTTCAAAAACACGGACGGAACTCCATCGGGTCCAGGGTTGAAGGACGATTTGAGCTACGTTGCAGCGTTAGAAATCATCTCAACGTTGACATCAATTGCACTCAGCGTTTGACCATTTAGTGGGATGTTCCTGGCTGCGAGGGAAACATGGTCGTCACTTAGTCTCTCATCAGTGAACACACTGGCAAAATTGACAGAAAAAAGGCGACAAATATCCTGCGGAGTGGAAGCGACTTCACTGTTCAATTCCATTGACGATGGGAGGCCAGATTCTCTGCGTTGCTCGTTCACGTAGTTCCAGAAGGATTTCGGGTGAAGTTTAAGGTTACGCTGAATACCTCGTTGAAATCGCAGAAAGCATCGACGACTGGCTCGCTGATACTCGTGATTAAGCCTCACGTAGTGATGTTTCAGAGGAAGCGTGTGATACTTCGTAAATCTTCTCAATGCTGCTCTTTTGATCGACTTCAACCTACGCAGCTCAATCGTCTGCCAGGGAGGGTGAGAGTCTTTGCGTTGAATTCTTTTCGGGACGTGTCTGTCAATGACATATGCCAAGACATGAGAAAAAGTTTGCGCAGCGGCCTCAACGTCGTCATGATCGAGAATGTTCTCCCAGTCCATGTTTGACAACACATCTACAATGCTTCGATGGTCGGCCTTTCGAAAGTCATAAGAAATCGCAGCAGGAAGACTATCGAAATCACGAACGAGATTGTCCTCAACAGTGACAATCAGAGGAGGGTGGTGCGGAACAAGCTTAACTAGTGGACAAGGTGCTGTGGAAATGAACGGAGCATTGTCCTGAGTGCTCACGAAGCAGAGGTCCAAACTACGGTTGTTCTCGTTGACTACGTAGTTAATTTGAGAAAGCGTTGCTACGCTATAGTTATCGAGAAGGCCGATAGCTCCTGCATGAAATAC